GGTGTGGGGTTAGCCTATGCTTGCTTCATTCCTCAGAGAAGCGGTTCCTGCTGTTTGGTGTACAGTGTAAAAGTATGAAAGAGTTATGGCTTGCCGAACGACCGCGGCACGATTTAAAACTCGGAACCCGAAACCGGAGCCCTTGGCAGGAAACTAAAGAATGTCCTTCCTACACAGTTGCTTCCAACCGAAGGTTGGCTTCGTTCTGGTGGCTCTTATTGGTCGGAAGTTTGCTTTTGCAGTCGCGGCTTCAATCTGGTGATCTAGCAAGATTGAGCACAAGCAGAGTTCACTTCTTGAAAGCTGCATCAGCTTGGCCGTCCTGCACTCGGCGCTGGAGAGATACTTTCGGTCATGGGATGTGTCATCTGGATCCCTGGATTCTGGATCTGAGCATTTGGACAGCAGGGAGGTCAAAGTGGAGCCCGAGCGCAAGCATTGGTGCTTCGATGGTCCCGAAATGTCCCGAGAGTGGCGACCCACGTTTGACATTTCGTACTTTCGGCCTGTTGCAGTACAAGAGCATATGAAATAGAGTGCAAACCATACCACACTAACTCTAATATCCCTAAGCTGATGTTGGCATCAATCTGTGACATTGAAGGGCTGTCGGCGCGCTTCCTGGCGCTGTGTTGGCCTCGTCGCACCCACGCGGCATTGAGAATTGGAGTTACTGTTTGTTTCGGCACTTTGCAGGTTGCCAAGGATTCTCAGAGGCGAGAGCTCAAAGAAATTAAACCAAGCTCATGCTTCAACTAAGATGAATGGGCTACAAGTCTACGAATCAGCCAAACATTGGACCAGAGATTCGTGTGCAAAGTCTGAGGGATACTCTAACAGGATTTAGTCGCCTGAAATAGAACAGCTGCGGAGTCAGTGGCATGACATGACTCACCCAACGCTAGTGGGTAGGGATGGCTGCCATATCTATCCTCGCCAGAGCCAGTTTCATACGCCACATTCGTATTCAGAGCAGCGTTGGGTGCCGGGGAAGCCGAAGCTACATGAGCTCATGAACTCAGAGGTTCAATGTGGACGAGTTGCAGATCCGCCAACCACCCACCGGGCCCGCCCGCGCTTGTGTGGGAGGGGCGCGCGGCGCATGATCTGCTGGTCTTTTCCCTGCGCCGGAGGCAGCGGATTCAGCTCCAGCGGACAGATACCCTAAGGACAGAAAGTGCGAGGCTCTTACGCACTCTCCCGCCTTGCACTGCCAGCACGAGCAGTGACTGAAGCGGCCACACCATGGGATCTGGCACGGGACATGCACCGAGGATAGGACCATTAGCTTCAAGGCGACGGTGTCCGTCTCGCAGGCTGTCAGCTCAATCGAAGAGCTAAATGGGCACACGTGTCGCTGTTGGGGCCGACGCGCAGTTTGATGCTTTGGATCGCATTTGCACCGGAGAGGTGCCTCACCTGGGGGAAACCGCTGCACGGCCGCAATGGAGCAGCCGAGTGTGCTCATAGCTGACCCAAGGGTCCGATCAGAAAGGCCTTTGGGCTGCACGGCAGAGTCAGCCACGTGCAACAACCAAGGACTTGAAAAGGGACTTGTGGTGGTCACAAGAGGTGCAACGGGGCAGAGATTGGCAGTTGGTCACGCTGCAAGGGTCATTGGGTCAGATTTGATCACATTTCCTGTGCTCTATTTATTTCTTGTGGTGCTGCAGCTGATCACACGTCGGATCAAGCAGTTTGAGCATCTGTATAAAAAAAGCCGAGCTCGTGTAGAAATGAAGAAGCTCGCATCGATGGCGTGCCTTGCCTGTGTGGGTTTCTCGTCTTTGCATATGGCCAGCCAGCTTCCTTTTGTGACGTCGGGAAATCATGCCACAAAGCCGTGGCGGAGCCCTTGTTCTGTTCGACGCCTTGCCATAGCAGCCAAAAAAAGGCATCCAGCCAATGCTGAAGGCACCTTCTATGTGGACCACACTTGCATCGACTGTGACACTTGTCGATGGATGGCTCCCGAAACTTTTGGAAGAACAGCACAGGCCTATGGAGGCCAAAGCTACGTTCACCAGCAGCCCGAAAAAACGGAGGACATGGATGCTGCACTCCAGGCGATGATCTCGTGTCCCACTGGTAGCATTCGCACGAATGAGCCTCTTTCCAAGACAAAAGAGGTTCTCAACACTTTCCCCATACTTGTACATGAGCAATTGCCTCGGGCGTTTCATCTCGGTTACCACAGTTCCAAAAGCTTTGGTGCGGCTAGCTATTTTTTGGCTGGGGGACCAAGTGGAAGACCCTTCAACGTAATGTACGACTCGCCCCGTTACTCCTCTCGGCTGGCAAAAGTGCTGGAAGCTGCTGGTGGCGTTCATCTGATGGTACTAAGTCACAAGGACGATGTAGCCGATCATGAACGTTGGAAGGAGCGCTTCCCTGGAATGACCCGTGTAATGCACAAGCAGGATGTGCGTGGGCCCTTATCTTGGCCCTACATTGACATGACTGGAGTAGAAATGCAGTTGGAGGGCGCTGGACCCTGGACTTTGGCGGAGGGCCTGAAGGTAGTTTTCACACCAGGCCATAGTGCGGGCTCTATTACTCTCATTGCTGAAGGATCACGAACTGGTGGGGATGGGGTAGCCTTTACCGGTGACCACCTAGCACTGAGTGGCCGCCTTGGCCGATTGGATGGTTTCGCGCGCTATTCCGAAGATACCAAGCTACAGGCAGATTCCATGTTAAAGCTGAAGGGTGAGGACGTGCTGTGGATCCTTCCCGGACACGGCCGACGGATTCGCTTTGAAGATCCTGCGAGCCGGGAGCAGCGGCTGCAGCGGGCAGCTCAAGAATATCGCGATGACCCACGAGGTCAGATGGCCCCTGGGCCTTTGTACAAAGTCCTACAAACCTGACCGTGCACAGCATGGTAAAAAGGTTGGGCAGTCGCGGCCACGGGATAGAAGGCAGAGCCCAGCAATGGTTGCAAGGTGCCGTAGGCTCGAATGGTTTGTAGTGGTACCAGAATTGCGAGCGGGACGCGTGTAGTTGCTGGCAGGACTTTGCAGAGTTCCTGAAAGTACGCTTGGCCCTTGCAAACGAGTACAAAGTGCCTTGGCTCGGAGAACAAGCTGTCAGTAGTCCAAGCTTGCGTGGGACCGTTTTAATGCAGCCGGGCCGGTTTCGTTGACTGCCGTCCATCGGCTGGCCACACCCAGGAGGCTGTCAAACATCAGCGTCTTCGAGCCGCGCGCTGAGTACCCGAACGGCCAGAGTATGGCACAATCTCGAGAACCGACTTTTTGAATCAGCCAACTTGTAAAGCCCTGCACAAAGGCCAGTGGTTCCTGGGACATTCAGGCCAAGAGATGTGAATTCCACTTACCAATCTTAGCTTCTTAGCCGTACCTGCCTGTGCATGACGACCAGTACGCAGAGAAGTTTGTAATCTTTTGACAGGGCAGAAAATGAGTCCATTGGCGATGAATTCATTCCTACAGGCTTGCACTCCAGCAGTCAGTTTACCATGATGTTGAAAACACCGCGTCACTTTCGGAGGAGGCACCCAATATTGATAAAATGGTAACCACCCCTGGGGGTGGCGAACAAAAAACGCAATGCTGAGAGTGTCAGGTTTCTGCCTGGCTGCATCTCACAGTGCCAGCCGCGTGCCGTGGCAGGATCCCACACTGCGTCAAGAGTCAAGACGAGGACTGGGACTGGGACGCATAAAGCTCCGTTGGCTGCTCGGCCGTGGCCGACAAGGCGGTTGTTGATGGGTGAGTGTCATTGCAGTCGGCCGAGGTCAGAACAACACGTTGCTGGGCAAGCTATGCGCATGCTCAATTCGAATTGATTTTGGTTGAGGGCGCTTTTGCAAGTCCGCACGACCGTGGACTGCAGCTGTTGCCAGATTTGAACAGCGTTTGCAGCCCAGGCGAGCCTACCTGGCTTCAGTGGTTAATGAGCAGTCCAGGCAGGCAATTGTACTTGCAGGGTTTCCTAGTCATCCTGGTCCTGCAGCTTGCTGCTGAGATTGCCACGAAGCAAGTATTTTCCCAGCGACTGATCAGATGTGAGTGAGCTTAAGAGGTGTGTTTGGTGTGGACAACCAGTGGACACAACAAGCCCTGAGAGTGAAAGTTGTGACGACCACGCATAGTACTCGATACCTTGCCCCCAGGCAGAGACGAGAAGCGAACTGGGCTCCCAGCTTCCAACTAGATGATGTGTCTCGGCTGCAAGTGCACTGCTGGGAGGTTCGATTGTTCTGCGCTTCACTTGCCAGGTAAAACTTTCGGAAGTGGCCAGAAAAATATCCAAGAGCGATGCACCTTGCTTGCACTGGGCTTGTCGTTTTGCTTGCGCCGATTATGGTCCGTCGAACTATTAATTGCTGCATGCAAGATCAGGTGGAATATTCAGTCCAGCGTGCAGAGAGAGATTACGTGGATGTTTGCCCATGTCTCAGATGCCATGGCACGGCAGGGGACGGCTTGGGTTGCATGCATCGCCAGTTCGAGACTCCATTAATCAAGGCAAGGAGATCGAACTGCTGAAGAAGCTGCAGGAGGTTCGGGTGATGGCTAGTTCAAAACACCTCCAGTTCTGTTCTTGTTGGAGGAGGTCGAAGATGAGCCCTGCTGCATGGAGCAGATGGAGCAGCCGGAGCAGGACTGAGTTGATTAAGAAAAGTCAGGTGCTCCCGCTTGCCTCTGGGATGCCACACAGGAGCCCAACCCGCCAACCTCTGAGTCTGACGGTTCCGATCAAGGGAACGAGCCTCGGTGTTTGTGCATTTTCTGAAGTTGTTCTGCAATCAGAGAGCAGAAAACAAGGCAAGACTTCTTTAGATGGCCGTTGTGCCCTACCTGCCGTCGGTGTTCTTCGCAGTTCCACCGAGGTCCCCGGCCGGCGGGGGGTTCGGCATGAAGCGCGTTCCCTCCGTTGCGTTCTTGCCCCAGCTGCCTTCTCTGGAAGCGCAACCCTCCGTTTAGACCGAATAAATAAGGGGTTTGGGGTTGCTCCTTGCAGCCCCTCCCAACCGCATGTCAGTGTGCGGTCGGGGTTTCGTCATTGACACTGGCACATGCTGAGGCTGGTTGACAGAGAGGAGGACTTGGCTTTGGCATTTTTCCCTGCATCGAGCGCTCGCAAGATGGAGTTCAGGAGCAGGGCGACGACGACGATGATGGTGCCAGTGTGGCCTCATCTGTGAGACCACCAGACCACACGAAAGGCCTGCAGGGCCCATGCCGCGAAGCTGCAAGTTGTAATGCCCATGGCGAGGTTTTGGCATTTCAAAAGAAGTGCTCCACGATCACGGACTTCGTGCAACAGGGCGTAAGGACGACTCAGTGTGCTCCTGGCATCTTATGTGGTCTTGGTGGTCTTGCTGAGGAGAACCGAGGGCATGAATTGTTCGGTTCCGGGTGCTGTGCATGACATCAACTGTCGTGACAACCTTGCTCTGGTTGCTGGCTCAACATGAACAATTGTTAATTGTGTCCCGTGCTTGAGAGTGCATGCAGAGAGTTCCTGCCGCTGATTCTTCTGTCTTTGTTCCAGTTCCGGGGACGAGCGACAGCGTGATGATTTTGGCAGGTGTGAGAGCAGCAACAGGAGAAGTATGTCCCACACCGATTTGGCAAATGCTCTGGGCTCACAGAATTGCTGTCGTTGCACACAGAGTTGGGAGCAATTGCAGGGGTGGGGTCAGTTTCACAGACTTTCTTGTGCGTCGACCCCTTGCTGTCGTTGCACACAGAGTTGGGAGCAATTGCAGGGGCGGGTCAGTTTCACAGACTTTCTTGTGCGTCGACCCCATGCCAGACTCAGACTCATGCCGTGACACCCCAGCAGAATAAATGAACACGGCATCTGTACACCTAAAACAACACCTGTCTTTGCACATCAAGCTGTGCAGATTCAGCACCTTTTTTTACTGAGGCCAAGACTCTGAGGTGAGAGACATGCAGGATAGACATGTTCCTTTCAATAGCCATTTAATGATTTGCAATATTTTGATCGCGGTTTTCCGATGTTTTCCTCGCATGCATGCAACTGTTTGCAACGGCGCGTCCTTGCTACGAGCCGAGTGTACAGTCACGGCAGGATTCAGAAGGGGTTCAAGGGAAGAAGTGACAAGACAGGCTCAGGGCCTCACGACTGTCCATGTTGCCGGATTCGAGCCCGTGTTCCCCTTTGGTTTCGGATCTGCATACAGCGTGGCGAGGATGTGCTGACCTCGTCATAGTAGTGGCAATGCCGCGGCCAACGCCCGCAGAGCCCAGAGGTGGGTGCCGAGACGCCCTCACGGCAAGATGCGGTGGCAGGAGAGGTCGATAACATTGCTGCTCTTGCACTGCACAGCCAATTCTTTTGTTCCGAGGGAGCCTTGGCTGGGAAAAGGCTCCACTGCTCCCAACAGCCTGAAAAGAGCCTGAGAGATTTGTTCAACCTAGAGGCTGGGGTTGGTTGGGAGGTGTGCCTTCACCAGCTAGGTTGCTCGAAGCTAGCTATCAGAAAACCAGAGAGCATCGACCGGTGGCATGCGCTCAGAAGGGGCCGCAAAGAATGCACAAAGCCCAAGCTCAGGGAGAGATAGAACGAGCGGCGTAAGGGTGATGCCAAGTCGTCTGAGTGTTCGAGTAATTCAAATTCGGATCTCAGTGCCATAGCCTCGACCCGCAACCTGTGCGGGCGGTGTTCAGACGCTGTGCCTCTCACGGCGTCTGATTCGGCTTGAGTCACGGGTGCGCTGCAGGATGCACTGTCCTCAAGCTCGTATACACAGTGGGCTTTAGATATTAGTTATACTTGATGACTTCTTGCGAAGGTGTGCTCACGTGATTCGGTTAGAAGCCAAGGAGGGCACTCTGCCCAAGGCTGACTGCCCCCTAGGCCCTAGGCCCTAGGCACGGCGCCTGCTCGCCAGATGTGAAAAACATTGAAGAGAGAATCTCGCGGCGCCCCACAGAGAGCTGCGACCGCCTTGGGCCTTCCGAGGAAGCAGCGAGTCGATGCCAATGTCTTCCTCAGGCTCTCTCACTGGCTTTCTGAAAGGCCAGCAGTCGCAGTACGTCCCAGTCAGCGGTCAGGATGGTTTTGCTTTCTGATCGCCATTGCAGGAGGATCTGAGCATCTCTGACAGGTGCGGCACTCGCGTAGTGATTGTTTCACCCAAGAACAGACGCACAAGTCCTGGCATACTGCATGCTGATCGGAATCTCGTCTGGGCGTTTTGAACCACCAAGAATGAGAGCTCGTGTTTGATGATATGTGTTCTCTCCGTCAGTTGCTTTAGAGCTCAAGGAAGTTAGCTGTGCTCTCCGCATACGCGGGGCCGCTAATGGCCTGGGACCCACGTTGCGAGACCGTGTGGACGGGCAACTAGGCGCGACTCTGGGCCGGCCAGGGCGTGCAGTGTGATTGGGATTTGGCAGAGGCACCAACCAGTCCCACGAGTTGCACGGCGAGGACTGCCTATCTTGGGCTTGACGCGAAGAAGTTTCTAGCAGTTGTGGTCATGTTCGAAGACAAGGTGGGTTGAGGACTAGGATCCCGAAGAACGCAGGCGCATGTTTCTGAGGCGTTCGTTGGAAAGTACTGGCATGGCTTTGTGTGGTTCCGATCCCTTGATAGGCTCGACGCCATACAACGCTGGTTTCCTGCATTTGTTCGAGAAGCCCTGCTCAAATCTTGCTAGGAGTCATGCGGAGTTTTCAGCAGCTTCCTGGGGGCGACTCCTTCGATAATGATGGCATGCAGGCTTGCCAGGTGCCGCAGGCATTGAACCTGCAGGCATCCCCGAGCATGCCGATGACGATCCTGGGTGGCCAGGCTTCCTTCATGTCAAGCCCCGGAGGCTACACATCAGGGCTTGGTCTCCAGCTTCCGCCGAACCCGCAGCCCCAATTCGGCAATTTCGCCCAAGCTTTGCCGCTGTCACAAAACATGGGCCCCTCCCAGATGCCACAAAGGCCTGAAGCTCCGGAGAGGGGCTCTCAGTGTGGGGCACCCGGTGCAGGAGTGATGCCGAATTTGGGTGTGATGACTCCGGTGTGGAACCCGGACGGCTCCGGGCAGCCTGTGGGTGGCCTGGGAATCATGTCAGGAATGTCGGGCGGGGTCTCTTCTCAGAACCAATCAGACAACCTGCGACTCTCAGGGCTTCCAGTCAGTCAGATGGCCGAAGGTCAGGTCTCGCAAGGCTTCAACAACTCCTCGCAGATGCAGCAGATGGCGATTTTGGGTGGCATGCCTGCGCAGTCGCAGCCTGGACAGTTGTTGGGGGCCTTCTGTGCCCAGCTTTTGGGTGGGACTTTGCCTGCACCAGCGGGCGAAGGCCCTGTGAGGCCCCAACCCGGCAATCCGCCCGGGAGCTCCTTCCACAAGCTCCCAGACTTTCAGGACCCGGTTCGGCAATCCGCCTGGATGCCTGCAGACTTGGGCAGGGAGCCCTTGGAGCCACCACGCGAGGAGAGCCAGCCACAGCAGAACCAGCTTCTGCTGCAGCAGCAACAGCTGATCCTGCAGCAGCTGGCCCAGCCACCGAGTCAGTCCGGCTGTTTCGGAATGGGCGACCAGCCCCAAGCCCAGCCTATGCAAATGCAGCTGCAACAACCCCAGTCTCAGCAGCTTCAAATGCGGCCACTCCCTAACAACACCTTTCAGGCAAGCTTGCCGGACAACTTTCAGGAGCTCTCCTTGCCACAGCTCCAACTTCAGGAGAGGCCCCTGGAGGAGAAGAGACTCGGATCTTCGGGGCCGCCGCTGAACTTCCCTCCCAGCATCTGTGGCCTCTCCGCAGTCACGTCATGTCCCGAGAGCCTGAGCGCCTCTTTGTCTTCCCCCTGTTCATGAGGTGGTGGTGGGCGGTCGCCGGAGCTGGGGATATTTCAGCCCGAGTCCTGGAAACATTTGGCTTTCGCCGTCGTCAAGCAGGGTCACGGTGCCTGCAGGCAGTCGCGCGAAGAGAATGTCGCTGGAAATAGTGTGACCAACGGGCTCTTCATGGACGACTTACACAGCCTCGATGCAGGTGCGAGAGACGAATTCGCAGCTTCCGCTTGCTTTGCTGCTTGCTTTTTGGAGGCTTCCCCAGGCGGCCCGAGGCCAGGAAGAGCGCTGTCAGCCAAGAGACGCTGCCATGACGTGCCAGAAGCCGCCTGCAGGCTGGCAAAGGCTTCAACTCGGACCAATTGCGGCTTGCCGAGGGTTGATGTGGTAGATGCAATCTTTGAAGTACCTGGTTCTCTGCTCAGGAACGGCAATTTTGATCTTCGCGTCGGCGTGCTGGGTCAAGGGGTGCAGGCCTCAGGATTCTTGACAAAGTCTTTTAACACTCAGGCAGGTGCTCCCCCCAGTCAAGTCTGACTGTAAGGTTAACCCGGGCCAAATCAGAGAGATCTTCAGGCACGGCTTCAGAGCACTTCTTCGTATGATGAGGTCCATGCAGGCAGCAAAACAGGAACCGCATGGCCACATCCCTTGTAAGCATTAATCATTATGTAAGGTTGCCAGCTATCTCAAGGTTAAACAGGACAGTTTACTTCAAGAGACATCGTGATAATGTTTGTGTTCGGCATAGCGTCACGACGCAAAGTGGCATTGTTGTATGCATTCGCGCTGGTTTCGTCAAGTGGCCACCAATTGACTTGACACAAGTATAGGCAATGATGCGCAGTAGCTATTGACTTGCGGCTGCTTTGCCAGCGATGCTGGCTTCTAGAGAGACGCTCCTTCTTGTTGGTCCATCACGTCTGCAGGGATGCCCTAGGGCACATACCAACTGCGGCATTGCCAGGCTTAAGGGCCTGGAGATTCGCTCGATCGACATGCAGAGGCACACCGCTGTCGTATAGGCTTTGGATCACTTTGACATTCAACGCTGTCAGGCTAGGGAAAGGCATGGCCTTGGTGGCCTTAGCAGATCCGTCGAAGGCGCGCCGGGCCGTGGAGACTCGGCAGCATTTTCTCTGCCCGGTCTTTGGTCCCAGAAGGCCTACCCACCCAAAGCCTGAAGAGTCGCAGTGCCGCCAAGAGCCTAGGAGGAGCTAAACGGTTTCAATATCGACGGCCGCATGCTAACCGTCGAGTTCATAGACGAACGCGCGGCTGCGCCTGGCTCAGCTGGCAATTGCTCACGAGTGCAACAGTGAGACACTCTCAGATGTTTCTCCGCAGGTGGCCGGTAAGGGAGAGCCAGGGACCAAGAAGATCCAGGATGCCACTCTGATCACCGTGTACAACAGCGAGGTTTTTGGTGACAGAACTGAAGACGCCCAAGCTCAGGCTGCGCGGCTTTCAGCCAGGCGGACCCCAGAAAGGAGGAGGCAATCATGGCTCATGTAGCGATCGTCGAAGCAGCTGCGGTGTCTTAAGACCGATGCACAAGGTAAGCCCGGCCTTGGCAAAGGCTCCAAAGAGAGTTGGGACAAAGGTCGGAGGGTTCTGCCATTGTGCTGGGCCTTGGTGTACAGTTTCCTTCAGGTGCCGCCTTCGTTGGCACAGGGCCAAGCTCTAGCTCGAAAGGAGCAGAGAGCCACAGCAGAATTTGAAAGCAACCCGAAGACCTGGCCATAATGAGAACACCTTCGGATCCTCAAGCCTCTGTTGCCGATGCTTAGGAAAGGCGGCGATCCAGGCGGCAACAGGGCTGGGGCTGGGTCAGACGAAGCATTCACGAGACAAGCGGTCGCCGAAGAGTTCCCTGGTGTAATAGCAATGCAAGCCAGGCGGGGGAAAGAAGGGTCCTGGGTGACTTCGTCTGCAATTCTGCGCTAGTCCGTTATGGAAGTGCTTGGCACGAGGGCCTCTCTCGCGCACATCAGATTGACCGAGCTGTGGTGCACAATCAACTGAGGAAGGGCAAGGCCAACAATAAAGGACCCTGGAGTTTTGCATTGAGCGCTCGCCTGCTGGTGGAACAGCATGGTGTTCCAAAACAGCCTTGCAGGGCGTGTGATGCTTGTGCAAGGTGTGAGTAATTCCAACTCCGTGTGTAAATTAACTGATGATTGTCGCAGTGCAGGAGAGACAGGTTTCACGACCTCGGGCGTTGGCAAAATGAGATATGGAAACAGTCCAAATAAGCCATCGTCTCAGCAAGCATTCCCGGTTGCATGAGTGTGCAGGCACTTAATCCTCAAAGGGGAGCGGCAAGACGAAGCACCTTTCGTGCGTGGCACCGTCGTCCTCCTGAGGCTTTTCATTGGGAATCTGTCGACGGAGGTCTCCAGCGACGATTTGATCGAGGTGTCGCGGTCCGCTAAAAACGAAATGGCTAGGGCTCAAGGATGTGAGGGGCCGGTTACGAGGCATAGATGTATCCGCTGCGGGCCTTGGCAGAAGTCGTCTGCTTCGCATAGCTGCATAGCTGCCAGGGCGGACTTCTAGATTACGTTTATGTCCAGAAAATCCAGCAAGGAAGTGCTGAAGGTTCGAGCGATTTGGCTGTGAAGTTGACGATGTCGTTTTTTTGGTGGCTTTCGCTTTGAGCGATTTTTGTTTGCAATCTTGGTGATGATCAACCCAGATGGTCAGGCGGCTGCACCCTGGCAACCACAATTACGTTCAGGATGCCCATTGGCCAATTTGAACCGTTGACCGGAGGAAGGGTATTTGATTGTTCAGGTGCAGGTCGAAGGCTGGAAGGAGGGGCTCGAGATTCGGATAAATGTCGCGATCGGGAAGGAACCCGGCTGACGATGGTTGCTATCTTGCAGGCTGTGCTCACCACTTGGAATCATGTTCGAACATCGGATCAGGTGCTCTAGACTCTAGGAAAGTGGCATGAAGTTGACTAAAATCGCGTGTCGGCAGCGGGCGCGCGATCATTTCAAAGCTCCTGCAGAAGCGCATGGACTACACTGAAGTGGACGCCGAAGAGCTCGCATGCGTCGGCTTGTGCGGCTTTATTTGGAGGGCTTGGAACGAAGTCTCCAAGGTTTGTCAGGCTGAATGGGCCTGTCAGTCTGCTGCTGACACGACCGGGAGCCTTCGTCTGGCTTTGCCTAGTCACGAATGGCAAGAAAACACTCGAATGACGGCAATAAGTGTGTCCCTGCCTGTGCCCTTCTGTACAGGCACTGAAGCCAGCTGGTGAGGTGTTGGGCATACGTCTACGCCAAGGCTTTTGACGCTGAAGCTGTGTCTCACATATTTCTCTTGTGCAGCAAACAGAAATCTGAATCTAACTCCTGGAATGCCAGGCAAGTATTCCAGCATCGCTTTTGCGGAGTTCAAGCACCCAGGATGCGTCGACCTTGCGGCTCGAGCCCGAGAGACGGCAAGATTACGAGTGAGGCCGCCTGACCCTCGGAGTCTGTGAGGTTCGGACGCTACAGGGCCTCGCAATCAAGGGGCGGCCAGCAAGGCCTGGAGCCTTAGTACGGCCTGCGCCATGTTAGAAGCCCTAGTGCCGCAGTATCAGGATGGAGCATCAGTCCAGCAAGAACGAGCGCATGGGCGATGGAGACGAGCCTAGCCTGGAAGGCGGCCCGAGTAAGGGAGGAAAGGGCGGCCGAGGGAAGGGCCGGGGCGGTGGCGACCGCTCTGGCGACCGCAATCCCGCCGGGAGCCTGGCTGAAAGTTCTCCTTCGCAAACCTCATTCTTTTTGGGCGTGAAAAGCGACTCTTCAGCTGAAAAGGCTCCGCGAGGTATCCTCCAGCCGGGCCCGTCACCTGTCAGCAGAGAAACTCACAGAAACCCAGGCTGTTGGAAGTGACGTCCTGTGCGGCCACCATGCACAAAGGGGTCCTCAAGCTTTCCCGTCCAAGCCTTTACGGGGGCAGCCTAGAGGAAATTGATAATAGATAAAGCCGAAATCACATCGTCATGAATTCAAGGGGTAGGAGACATGTAAATCAGTGCAGGGCAAAAAGTCCTCATACTGTACCAATTCCAGGCTGCCTCCGGGTCCAATGGCTGGCAATCTGCCGCCTCGACTTCCTTCGGTGCGGTCCCAAGCCGTAGCTGCCGACACTTGCCTTCCTGATGGCCTCAAGTAGGATATGGGTAGTTCTCTAAATCAGGGTCCTTGTTTAGGTACGGCACCCTTGTAACAAGGACCCTAAAAGGGGACCCTAGTTTAGAGAACAACCCATGTCGGTTGTGGCTAGTTCTGCATTGCGACTGAGGGGATGGCCAAACCAGGAGAAGCTGCACAACCTGGCAGCAACTTGCGCAGCATCTTGATATCTCTTGCAGCCACTGTCGGCATGATTGGCGGATTTTTCGAAACTCAGGTAAGCCAGCCCCAAAAGTTGGCCTCACGCCGGGCATTCAGCTGTAAGTTCTGCAGGCGGGGGCTGTTGAAATCAAGCAGTAATTCCGATGGCCGGAGCTACTACCTGCATGGTGTCGTCCTGACAGGCTGAATCCCCATGAGGTCATGAGGCTGCTCCGCAAGCATGGCCAAGTGAAGTGAATTGAGTTGGATTCTCGAGCGTATAGTCCCAGACGTGCTTCAGTGTTCGCTCGTTCTGCATCACATTTCAGCTTGCAGACGATTGTGATCCAGTGCGTGTGCACATCACTTGGCAGAGTGCGAGCTGTGATGGGACGAAAGCGAACTGTTTGCATCGTGGACGCTACGGCCGACAACCAGTTGAGTTGCAGAATTAGTTCCATACTTGTAACTTGTAGCTTTCAACCCACCGCAAGCAGCAGAACGCACGATAAAGTCTCCGGGCCGTGCCCTATAGTGTAAGTTGACACGTGTGTGGAAGGATTTGCTGCTGAAAGCTGCTAGACGATGCAGTCTGTTGGATGCCATCCACACACCGTGCGTACAATACTGGACGCTGTCCAGAGAGGTGAAGTGCTGTGTCTTCCCGCGCTCCCCTGACGCTGTCACTGGATGCATCACCTGGGTCCTCCATAGGCTTGGAGCACCTGGTGTCAGCATCCAGTTTGAGTTGGCCCAGAATGAGGCGATTGAGCAGAGATCCGCAGCGAGAGAACATCCGTAGAAACGATTGTTGTCCTTGTGACAAGATCCGGCGACTAATTAGCCTTTAGAAAACCTAGACCACAGGCGCTGCAGACAAGCTCTGCGGGCGGGGTGGTAGAAAGGCCGTGGCCGTGACTAGAATATTCTTCCTGGCTCATGAAGGCAGCATTGAATCACATGCTGTCACCGCTTAGTTACTTTGAAGAGAGGCAGGCAGCCCACACGGATGGTTGCAAGCATCTCTGAAAAGATTGTATGTCAATGCGTTTGATCTGTTGCATTGGGCGGCAGGCCTCACATATGATATTAGGTGCCGCGGTGGTTGGCATCACGGTGCAAGCGAATTCGGCAGCATCGTTTCACAGGAGAGGCAAACCAGGAACGGTCCCATAGCAGCTGCACGTGACCAGGGGGCCAATGAAGATATCATCCTTTGACCAGGTGTTGCCACACGACTCAGCTAAGCTAGACCCCTCCTGGGGCAAGGCCATCAGCGGCCGGAGGCCGTGGACAGAACACCGGCTTCCACAGAAACTATAGCCCCATAGTCTATACTACAGCGCCATCCCCTCGGCACTGTTGGGCCTCGCCTTCTGTATAAACTCTCGTTTCGAAGCATGGCAGCAAGGAGTGGCCAATATTCAGCTTGGCAGACGTGCAGCTACAGACGGATCAACATGCAGTCAGAACCAGAAGCAGCACTAATAGCTCCGTCACGTGCAGCTACAGACGGCTGGCACAGGCCTGCCTTCATTTAGCTGATGACGTTGTGCAAGGAATCGCTAGAAAATCAACGTCACAGCTTTTTTGTGTGCCAGGTTCGGGCTATGTCCTGTGCCAGAATGTCCATGGCTGGTGGCTGTGCATCCGAGAGGGTCAGATCGGTTCAAGATAAGGAAGGGCAGGTCAGAAGCATCGACCAGGCTGTCAACAACATCTCGGAACAGTTCCGTTGAACTAGCGCATGTGTGGAGTGCAGTCTACTCGTCGGCTCACTGACTTTGATGGCCAAGCAGCAGCCCGATGTAGCCTCGCAGCACCGGGGAAGCTTGTGGGCGATGGACATGGCTCCGCAAAGCGACCTCGAGCCGCTCACGTCGCTCTGCATACTAAAATAGATGGCACCAGGAACACGACGAGCATGGCTGAGCGTCGGCTTCTGCGTTTGCCTTGATTGAGGGATGCTGCCTGTTGTCAGTGTGATGCCGCCCTGCCTCCTTTGTCGAATGTGTGCGGCACGTGCAGACCAATGCGATCTTTGCCAGCTGGAATGTTACACTGTGTTGGACCATGGAGATACGACGTGCCGAAACCTCACCTGTCCCAGGTGTCATACAAAAGGGGTATGGCAGGGTACCGAGGTGCCTTCACTTTGCGACTTTTCCCTCGCTCAGGCTGGAAGACATACGAAGCCTTCCCAAGCTGGAACTGCATGCTCACTTGAGCGGCTCGATTACCCAGCAGAAACTGAATCTTTGGCTGCACAAGGCACGCTTAAACCGCACACCATCCAGAGACGGTGTGCAAGCAAAACCACACGTGGCCAGTGCGGAATTGTAGATAGGCGCAGACAGCTTGTTGAAACGTGGTCGTTGTCACATCCTCCCGGAAGCCGACATAGTGCTGAGTCGACCGCTCGAAGTGTCGTGTCTCTTCTTCGGTTGATGGGCAAAACGGGCGCAAGCTTCGACCTCGTTTGGTCTGAATTTCGGCAATGGAAGCGAAAGACGAGATGGTCCAGTAGTATGCATTGGCAAGTGCTGAAAGCCTCGTTCGTTTGGGAGAGGAGTTTCCCTCTGAGGATTGAGATGTTGGAGAGGCGCGGCAATGGGGCTGCTTTCACGCCTTTCAACTGTAAGGCTGCCGTGGCCTGAGTTGGCGTCGTCTTGTTGTCAGGGTGATGCAACTAGGTCAAAGGCTTTCCCTCAGAAAACTGCATAGCGTGTTCACGGCCTCGGCCCCAGGATCGCTCCAACGCATTGGCAAAGTGCTTCGACTACTTTGCGAAGGCATGGCCAACTTGGGACTTGCAAGCATGCGGACATGTGGTTGGTGTGTGAAATGCCGATAATTTCATCTGCGATGCACGGATCCCCCAATGTGGTTCAAGTGCGGGTGCCCAGCTGCAAGGTCGCAAGTGTCATAACCGACCTGGATGCCTTGAAGGACGACCGACAGCTGGCGGTTTTGTGACTTCTGTCTGCCGAGTCACACTTAGGAGAGGTCGGGTGGCCCAGAAGTCTAGCCAAAAGACTGTGTGCGTGCAGAAGCCTGTGCCAATCTGGATGCGGCCTGGGAGGAAAGCACGCTGCATGTGCTGGACCACTTTGCTGCTGCTGGATTGCAGACAGCTAAAACCCACAGAAAAGTTGCACCCTGTGCTGAGCGCCCCCCCGCGCCGCCAACTGGGCCTGCTACCGGATTTAGTCGCGGTGTCTCTTATGTCTATTTCCAGCAGGTCGCCAGAAACCAAGGACAACACGCGTACTCAAGCTCCATAATCTTAAATGCTGTTTTCGGGGAGCATCTGGCCCGGAATGCACAGGGCCCAGAAGACAGTACAATTAGGGCCTGCATGGTGTCGCCTAGGGGTAGAGGGTCGGAGCCTCAGCAAACCACGTCCCTCCCCGCTCTCCCTCCTCCTCCTAAGAATATTGAATATGTTTGAAGAAAGGTGATGTTTAGTATTAAGTTAGTATTAAGGGAGGGGTTACAAGATGGACATTCAGCCTACAAGCTCCTCGTTTCCACTTCAGCCTACGTAAGATTCGCTTGAGGGATTCGCGCACGAGGCAGAAAGATGCATCTACCTCGAGCTGCGAACTTCACCCAAGCAGTTCAAGGCACGTTCGTTCGCAGCAGCTCTTTTTGCAGTGCTTCCAGCGGCTTCTCTCAGGTCAGCTCTCAAAACGGCTTTGACGGGACTCTCGTTCAAACTCTGATGGAGAAGCGTTACCACATGCAGACGTTGGTTTCAGCAGGTCATTGCCAGATCAACATCTGGCATATCATCCTGATTGTCGTTTCAGGTTCGGTTCGACGGACCATCGTTTAGTCGTTTGGTGCAGCCCAAGACTGCCATGCAATATCGCCGTAAGTAACGGCACAGTGGAGTGTGAGAAGTTCGATGAGAAGAACCAAAGCCAGTGCGTCGATGCCCCGTGTCAATTCCCCCGCCAGCCTTTTCGTTTGAAAGACCCTAGGGACGCAAAGCTGACCAGCAAGCTGCAGTACCTGGAGACAGTCCGCGATGCGATCCAGGAATTCCATTCCAAGGCCATCCTCTTGTTTTGTTCGAGGCTGCATTGAAGGAACAGGAGCCGCAGTTTCGGCACAGGCTCTGCAGCGGTTTGGGTTCATCATGGAGGCACGATGCTTTGCATGTGCAGTGCAAGAAAATTTTGTCGACCCTATGATGCGGATGGCGATGGTCCCAGGTGAGAATACTTCTCAGTGTCGACCGCGGGAAGGTGACGTCCAAGGAAAGTGCACTCGCGCATCTCCCGCATATAGTAGTGCTCGAATACACTGCTTGGAGAAGATCAATTGCATTTACACCCTGTTGTCTCGTTCTATGTGTATTATCGACAGCTGGATAGAGTGGCCGTCTCGACGACGCCGACAAAGCACACGATTGCGTTATAGTTATAGCGGCCCTGAGGCGCAAATTGATGATATCCTTGAGATGCAGAAGGCCTACCGACAGCAGCAGCCGTGTTCGCCTTACATTGCCGAAACCAACAGCCATCCGAGGTCCATCCCGATCTGGTGGTGGGCATCGATGTTTGTGGCAACCCTCATGCAAACACTGTCAAGCCGTACCTGCTACCGGCCTTGCTTGTCCCTCGGCCAGTACACGAAGTGCCGCCCAGTTTTGAGGCGTAACTGGGAGGAAACGATGATAGACTGTCGTCAGGGCCTTCTGTGTCATCCGCGGCTCGGCAAGGAGAGAAGCTATGCCTTCCAGAAGCTCCCGATCACTTTTCACACTGCCGAGATTCCTGATGATGCAACTCTGATCAAAGCGGTCCCAGTCCCACGCCCGTTGGTGCTGATCCCGAGACTCCATGCAGGAAGAGAGCGAGCTGATCATAGACAGCAGCTTGGCTCCACAGGGTCCCTTTCGAAGCTTTGTCAGCGTCTGCACTGGAATGCCGTGCGAGACCATTGACTGTCAGAGGAGAAGACCTTTTCTGTAGTGCCTACACCTCGAGTGCTTGTATACATGTTCATGCTTGTTTGCATTTTGCATACCAGCAGCTTCTTCGGCCCAGTCTTTTAGACACCCAGGTACGGTAGTCTTTCTTAGCCTCCTCAGGTGGCTCTGGTGTGCAAACCATAGGCTTTCGCCCTTGCAGTCCGATACTGCTCGACAGTCTGAGACAGAGGTGCACCCTTCGGAAAACAATTTTTGTGCGCTACAGGCTTGGTGTTTCTGGAATACAGTATAGGCAACTACTGTAATAGGCAACTGTTTTTTTAAAGAGGAGAGCCCATCTCGCTGCCAATTTTGGCCGAGGGGGTGGTTCCGGAAAAGGACAAAGCCAGCTTGTGCCCAAACTTGTGCTCAGTTCCTCCAAGGCATGCTGAAGCTCAACATCAGGCGCAAAGAGCTTGCATGCATTCCAAGTACGCAACATCAACAGTACTTTGTTGTCCGTAGCCGAGAAATTCCTCATTCGAAAGCGACCTGCAAGATGCAGGCGGTTGGGCCATGTGACGTATCTTCCAGACAAGTGCCGACGGCGCGTTCTACACGGCATCTTCGCGGATGGCGGTGTAGGAATCGTTGCTTGGACTGGCTATATTAGCGATCGGGCACGTGCGTGTCTACACACGCAGGAGTGTCAAGTGAGCAGGGCGAACACAGCACATAAGCCCCTCGACGCCTGTTGCTGCGAATTTGTGTGTGATGGCAAGATACCATGCGTGAGTGCAGGTGATAGTCCTTGGAGTTTTTCCACAAGAGTACGGGTTCATTTTTGCCTTCCAATGAGGTGTCATGCAAGCACCAGTCAGCCCATGTCCAAGAATGAACATGTTGCGTGTGTCCATAGGGGTGTACCCGCGGGCTTTCGTTCATGTCTATGGGTCTATGATCGTGATCACACACCGCTTGTCCTGCGCTGAGTTGCAGCAGGCAAGCAGAGTTGTGCAGCTAAGGAGATTTGTCCAACCTCCAATATGATCACCAAAGAGATTCCAAGCCTTTTGTCTGCGATGTGGGTGAGATGCAGGGAGGGTATGTGTGACCCGTTTCTGCAAAGACAGGTGGGCAGAAGCACAGAAGCACAGGTTTCGCAAACCTACATCGCTCCGAAGCCTTGTTCACGAGCCCGCTGTGATGCAGGGAAGCGTTCTGTTATTGTAACCACCGAGGAAAACACATTTGTCATTGATTTGCCTGGCCGTGCTTTCAAGCCATGTAGAATGTAGATGCTAACATGTTAAGACTTGTTCGGTCTGTTCATCGACCTGGATGTTTCGGGAACAGTTAAAACCAGGAGGAATTTGAGCGTTGCTAGACAGGAAGAGCTTAACAAAGTTGGAAAAACAGGACAATCGCAGGAGCATTTCGCATTCTAACAACCAGGACTTCGAGGCCCTGGAGTACATGACGACTTCATGTATTTGCAGTGGATCACAAAAAAACCCATTTGCGGGTTGTTGTTTCATTGTCTTTCAGAGTTTGCTTCGGGTTTGTGCCTTGTTGGCGTGGCTGATTGTTTCGGACGAGTTATGGGCACGCAGGAGTCGCGCTATCTCTTGTGAAGACTCGTGAGTTGGAGCATGCGAAGCAGCCAAACCTCTCGCCATGTGGTCTTTGTTGACTTTATCACAGCCCAAAGCCTAGCGGCGTACTGTAGCTGGCGCATCGCATGTACACCGCTTGTACAAGTGGCTTACCTGGAGGCCTAGACAAGGGCACAGGCTGTTTAGGTTGCGTGAGCAAGGACCCTAGTTGGAGATGTAGACAAGACTACAACGCAACGTGCTCTTTTGTCTTAAGCAAACCGGCTGTAGGAAGTGCATGACAAGTGTTCAATTGTTGGGCATCACTCCGACAAGTGACAGAATTGCCCTCCCCGCCCCAACTCCGAAGTCCGAAACTCCGGAAATACCCAAGCGAAAGGGTCCTGAAAGCCAGTGCAGACTGCACGTGAGGAGGTCTTTGGAAGGTACAAAGAATTGCTAGCCAGAACTGATAGATTCGGGCGCACCACTGTGTGAGCTACATGCATTTAATCCGGAAACAGCGAATCAGGCCTGGACGACCATCATTTCATGGACTGGTGGCAAAAGTCTGATAAGATCCTGCTCAGTGTGAATACTGACGACGTCGGCCAGCATCTCAGGTTCAGTCGTACCATGTCAGAAGGAACCGGCTTGCCAGTGCCAATTGAAACAACCGAGGTCTCTTCTCCTGCGACCTCTCCTCTGAAATCTATGATCTGGCCACTGAATCTGGCCAGCAGCAGCGTTGGAAGATCAGATCGTTATTTCATCGCCCGTAAAGGACCTGTTCCGTTGCATCCAAGGCATTTCGTCTATCCAGGCAAGACGTGATAAGCATCCAGCGCCAGGCCATCCGGTCAGCAGCATGACCGCAATAGCACAGCTTGCCCCCCCCCTTCGAGAAGCAGGTTGAGCTGCTCCGCCTTTCACTCGTTGTTGCATGTAGTAGTGTTGTTTGCCGTCAGCTCAGCTGTCACTGGTGCCGAACCACGAAAACACAGAGACACCGGCAACAACTACACCTGAAGCACAAACGATGTCAACATTGCAGGACACGTGTAGATCATCAGGTCCCAAGTCATAAGCTATACCTGAGGTTCTTGCACGCTGTGCTGGGAATGCGGAGGGCTTTGCTCTGTTTCCCGGGACTGGGGGGCAACAGTTTGATCTTGCGAGCTTTCATACTACGCCTTCGAGAAAAATCGTGATCTGTAACCCCACCACTGGTTGTTCCATCAATTCCCAATGTCAGATCTGCTCCCATTGCTCGCCAAGGGAGGGGGGCCCTGTGGTTCTCGCAGTGTCCGGGTGTTTTGCCAAGCTCTTGTCGTCTCCGAGAGCTTCTCCACTCAAATGTTCGCTCAGTATGTCCAGTATGTGTGCGTGACTCATGACAGAGACGCACTTGGCTACTTTTTGCTAGCGGGCTTTGAAGTACCACCAAGGAAGTGTGCCCGTGCAGGCTCATTTTTGCTTCAGACTGCTATTGCAGTGGTACGGCAGTATGCTCACCTTATCCTGGTGCCAATGTTGGCTTCTGTTCAATGGGTTGCTTGTGACCGAGCTCTGCTCGATGGTTTGTGGATGTATCTCTACGGTGCCCACATCCGACTTGACGGGGAGGTTGGGGTCATTATAATTATAAGCCACTAGAAGTCTGAGTCTGTGTGTGCAGGGACTTTCGTTGATGTTGGAGATGTGCTTCTGCAAGCTCTTCTTGTAATGATGCAGTGACTCTTACGAAAAGCTCGGACCCTCCGTCGTTGTTGGAAGTAGATCGGAACCTTTGCAACAGCCTGTCCTTGACAGAGCTTTGGTCATTGGTGGCGTCGGAACCCGATTGCCAAGTGAGCTGTGAAGCGCTGAGGCATTTCATCCGGATACGGCCAGGCTATCGAAAATGTTCGACGACATGTCTCTTGCCTTTGCTCCAACGTTAGACAGCTGTCCTTCTGTCAGGCAGTTTGGCTACCAAGGTTGTCAAGCCCACCAAAGCTACTTTCGAACGGAGCACCCTGGCATGTGATATTGTGCATTCGTGTTCGCGGCATGTGACAGCACGCGTCTGAAAGTGCTGCAGGCCTGGGTCGGATAGTTGGGTCGATCCCGATGTTGCATATTGACTCGGCCTGGTGCGGTTCTGAACCGCGACAGTGCACTTCAGGTTTGCCTGGAGGTCAACGGCCACAAGCGTCAGAAGCTGAACGGACTCGGAGCTTAGTGTGCAACCGCGAGATGTTCTCTGCGCGCAAGAACAAGAGCCCGACACTATTGGCATTGTAGTGTCTTCGCTCAGAACGCAGCCGTCGCAAGACTCCCGATCATATGTGTGGAAGTCCGAGCACGGGTTCAAGCGCTAAAATGATGTGATAATCAGCACACTGGCAAAGGCGAAGAAGTGCAGACCGCGTGCCCTACTTCAGAGCATGTGTGTGTGTGGGTGTCAGTCAGCACGCAAGGACTTGGGCTGTAGGGCATTGACAAATCCATAAGCCAAGTTCCTTGTCACCGTGCTTCCAATGCGCTGTTGGCCGCGTCCCAAGCTGGATGAGGTTTCCCAACTTTGAGTCTGACAGCATGCGCCATACATTTTAAGGGCATGGTGGTCTGCGAACAGATACAGCCGCAACCGCGAGCGCGATTATCACAGCATCTGCATCAGCAACGACTCCGAGCCGTTCACGTCCAGGGACGATGACAACTCTTCGGTTGATTCACAACAAGCGGAGGTGTCTTGGTTCAGCTGCGTCTTCAACCCTCGAGCGAAGTGCGTTGGGCTGTGTTCGTTGATGGCTTTGCAGGGGAAAGATCCGCGGGATAAGCCCATTACAGATGCGCATGTTGCTTCCAGGCCGCACTTCAAGAGGTGTGTGTATGCATGTGCTGCGTACCTGCCTCGCACCTGCGCGATGACCTGTGCCACTGAGATTTTGACGACGACATGTATGATTCTGTGACAATGGCAGCTTTCGGCGGGGTTCGCTTGCAACTTCCTGGAGGAGACCTCGGGAAATCGTGCATGAAGCAGAGCTCGGTGCGCTAGAGAAAAGTGATATCTGAACGCGATTCTCAATGCATCGAAGCTGCAAGGAACAAAGCGGGTCCAAGGAACAGTGCGGGTCCACCCGATGTGGCTGTGTTTGGGCTGCCTCCCGTTGCGACTTGGACGTCAAACTGTGTTGCCGGAGCATAGGCCAATTTCATTCAGTCGCCGGCACACTCGGCTTCTCAACGAAGTCCGCCGCACTTTTGCTCTGTCGTCCAGTCAAGAAGATAAAAACTCGAAAGACCCAAGCCCCAAATCCAAAACGCTTAGCACTTCTTTCTGACTTAACCCTGCAACGCTCGTTTCTAGGCAGGAGGCAACTCTCGTGAAGTTTGCAGATGTCGCAGACTGTTCAGTTCGACTGCATGAGAACTGCAGCGCCAGCAGTGGCAGTTTCAGAAGTCACGAAAGCTAGCCTCGGGGCTAGCGGAGTTTCTTATCAACAGAAGGTTGCAACAAGGGGTGTGGGGAAAGGCCCCCCAAAATTCTGTCAAACGGTGCCGGTTTCCCCCAGCTAGACTGCAGCTGGAGCTGCATTTTGGCTGTGGGGCGGGCCCCTCCTTCTCGGGCATGAAAAGGGAGTGTTTCGGCTTGCCCTGGAACGGAGAAACGAGCCGCCAATGATGCTCATGATGCTGGCCTTTCGGGCCCGGATGATGCTCATGATGCTCGCCGCGCCGGCCCGGCCGGGCATCAGTGATGCGCAGTCCCCTCCCCCTTAATCATAGGGCTTGGGGGGGTTACATGCAGGCCCACCGACTTAAAATAGGTGGCCCACTCATTCATGAAGCATCCCCCCATATCGAAAATCGGGCGACGGGGATTGGTCTGTGGGAGGGGTTTCGGGAATATACAGATTTGGTTGCTCTATTTACTATATACAATATACTACTACACGAAAACCCCCAAGTGCTGTGGAGCCGTAGCCGCAGGGCCGAGCTGGTACGCTTGCACTGAGCCCTGAGCCCCTGCTATATAATAGAATACAGTGTATAAGCAGAAATAAATACAGATAGTATAGCCCGAAACACGTCACACTTTCAACTCTCACACTAGACCCGCCTCTGCACCCCACACCCTGCCTGAACCCTCAGTCTAGAACCGCAACCGTTAGCAAAGCAAGCTTAAGTCCTGGCCCCTGCCGCCTCTCCTGTGGCCTGACACCAATCCCCGCCCAATTTTTTCGATGTGGGAGACGCTTCCCGAATAGGGGGGGCGCCTGTTTTCAATCGGTAGGCCTGCAGCTTTGCCCTAGCTTTCGTCCCAGTCCCTCCTCCACAAGTCCACATTCAAAACAGACAAGGCGTTAGTAGCGGAACTCGGCGCCGGACAAAAGAAGCCGCCGGTTAATGCGGATGTCAGAATGACACTCTTGTCACACTTGGCTTGGGTGCGCCACTGGTCGATCGAACATGAGCATGGACATGTTCGTAACCTCGAAATGTCAAGTCCTGCGATCCAGGTTCGCTGCGCAACAGGCCAGCTTGCTTTACATGCGCCTGGGCCAGGAACTGGAGAAGCCTGTGCATGGGGAAGGAGACCTTGGGTTCCTGCGGGTGACAAATCCCAGGTGCCAGGAATTGCTGATTCTGGAACAGGTCTAAGTCAGCTTGCTCTATTCTGACTGTTCGCAGCACTTCCTGACAGGAGTGTCAGATGAGCTAAAGCAGATCCTGCCCTTTGCGAAGACGCTGATGGTTTATACGCGACCTGGCTCTTCCGTGCTGTAGTTCTTTCAAAGCCACTTTTTCGGGACTTTAGGACCTTCGCCTGAGGTTGGGACTGATGCTCTTTCCGGAGTTGTTGGGCGCCTGTCGTTTATTACTCTTCGTTCTGAACCCCACCACTTGGATTGACATCAAGAGCCGCTTGTCTAGTCTGGTAGGGAGCAGCTTCTTGTCTAGCGCCTCTGGATGTTCGGTATGCCCAGGATTCCGACCAGAAAAGGAAGCAATGTGGGCTTTTCTATGGAGCACACCAGTCCTTGTGTCTTGTGCCGCCACAGCAGAATTGCTCAAGCTGTCCATTGGCTACGTGGTCGCTCATATGCATTTCATCTACAGTGCACCTACAGCGCTCGGAGCCGGATTCTGCCGTTTACAGTTGGGCAGCGCGCAGTACAGCGAAGACTCTCGAACGGCAATCGTCGAATCTGCAGAACATGATTCAGGTTCTGATTGACTCTGTCAGCGTCGTCCTTGTCTGTGACACGGTGCAGGACGTCAGACATGCAGGTGCATTCCCGCAATCTGTAATCCACCAAGGTCTGGGCTGGAAGTGTTTCATGCTAAGTGTTTAAGCAGACAGTGGGCCGGACGCGTTCAGTGTTTCCGAAGTGGCGCGATGTGGTGCAGGACACCCTTTTCAATAGCTTGGCCTTGACCTTTCTTGTGGACCTCGACAACAAGATACTTGCCCGACATATAAGCCGCAAGAAGATATACTGCTTAGCATGTGTTGTAGTTACTGTACAGTCTTCAGCAGGTATGGCTGCAACTACTTTTGTAGTTCAGAAAGACTGCTACATGCCTGACATTCTGCAACAAAGCATCCATTTCCATACCTATAAGACATGGTCAGACTTGTAAGAGTCGAACCACACGGTGTTGGTTTCATTCAGGCTCTGGGAAGTGGTCAAAAGCGCAGCGTGGAGCAGCATTTAGAGGTGTGTGTTCTCTGGTGCTCCAAAGAATGGGCTGCGCAGGGATTAGGATTTATGGCGTGATGGGAGACACTCACTCAGGGCAGCGTGACAAACACCTGCTTTTGATTTTGAATCGCTGTCCGGCGAGAAGTTGTGAGTAATTACTGCCACCAGAATTGCGGTCAGAGTTTGTTTTCGGAACTATCCTCGGGGTTGGGTTTCTCTTTGTTTCTACACTTGCTGGAGACGGCAGCTTCGCCAAGGTGTTTGGAATAGAGTACAAGGAGCAAATGCAGAACTTGCAGCTCATGACTGACGAAGAGCAGGAAAAAGAACGCAAGGCTCCGCCTGCCAAGCACTGCCTTCAATATTGGAGATTCACACCCTTCGATCCCCTTCCATCCTGCATGGAACTGGCAGGAAGGCAAAGTCAAGAGGGAGGCAGGGGCTTCGGCCATGAGCGTGCACTCTGGCCTTTCACCGATCTGCCGAGGGCTGGGAGGATTGGAAAATCTTCAGACAGTGTTCCTGGCTTCGAAGAGCACAAGGAGGCAGCGCGGTGGAAGCACTCCTCGTGCCGCTGCCCAAGGCCCAAGGCTTGAGAAAGGAGAAGTCTGGCCGATGTGTGACAGCGGCAGCAATGCTGATCGAGGAAATAGTCTGCCAAGGTGCGCCATATTCATGTTTGCATATGTCCGACAAATGCTGGTCGCAGCCTCGATAGCAACATGCGGCCTCTTCGGTTTTGCATGAAGGCTTACAGGCGCAAGCTCCCATGACTTGCATTTTTCCAATGTCTCGTCAAGAGCCAGAATGCTTCACCACACGCTCAGACGGGCCCTTGCAAAAGCCCGAGGTCATGCTCTACTCTTTGAAGACAGACACGCTTCCGGTCGCAAGATCCTTGTCTCTGAACTGAGATTCGATGGTATGGTGGGTATGGTGTGGAAGCAGTGAGGCCATTGGAGATTTACATCGTTTAATCTTCCTGATGCTAAATCTTCAACAATTCAATAGTCTTCATCCACAGATATAGAGCTACCGAATGGTCTTGGAAGGGTGAAACATCACCGAGACAGCCTGTCTCGGCCTTCTTTGCAACAGCCCTGGGGGCGGCCGTTCTGATTCTGGCGCCCGGCAAGTCCAGAATCAAAAGGTTTGCCTCCGCGTGTCAAGACAGCTTGTTCAGCAGATTCAAGATGCGAAAGCCAAGGAGACATGTGCACCATTTGGCATTTTACTGAAGAGGACAGTTTTCTTGGCATGATGACTCGCAGAGTCTTGCGAGCTTCGTCACCAGTGGAAAGTTTTCCAGTGCTCATTGCTTCTTGGGTGTGTTCCTTCTTTCCGACTCGTGGCTTTGACATTCAGAGACCCCGGCCAAGGAGTCATGAGCTTGCCCCTTGGATGCGAAAATGCAAGAAAGTCGGTTAAGCACAGACAATGTTTCAATGGTTACTCTCATTCTACATTGAGCTCTGAAGCAAGGTATGCCCATCCAAATGGCTTGCTGAAGCTTGTCTGACTGCAGACACCAGTTCTGTGGGTCCTTCAAAGATTCATCGGCTTCCGACTCGAAAGTCTGAAAGCGTAGACATATACGCGTAGGAAGGCAGTGCATGAGACCTGAGCAGGTCGCCGGGGGGATTGGAAACGAATGTGCTGAGAGCTCTCAGCATGGCTAAGGAACCAGACCTGCAACCCAGAGGTGGGTGGCTACTGCAGCGACCAATTTCGCGCCATTACGGGCAGGGATATGTGGGATCTCGCGATGGAGAGGCCGCTATTTATCGTCCCCTGGACGCGAAAAGTTTACCGGTTTACCTGCTGCCCGCTTTTTCAAGCACAGGAGCAGATCTGGAAGTTGCGAGGCTTTACAGGCCACATTTCTAGTCTACGTCATTATAATGAGCTCTTGCGGGCTCGAGCATTTCAGTTGCGATTCATCTTGAATGAGCCGTGCGTGTGCTGAAAGGCCCTTGCTGCATGGCCACATCAGCTGTAGGTGTTCGACCTGGCTCACCTGTGCTAAGGCGGCAAATGTAGCTCCTTGGTGGGCAGTTTGTTGCACATGGACATGGGCACGAAGGATGAATAGGCATGCGTTACAAATTTTCTCGCGCATGCCCTGAAGGCCGGCATGGTCTGCGTGCTTCTCGTTCCACAAATTTTCCAGCTGCTGCTCTTCTGTGAAACGGATAGAAAGGACGAGCATGACAAGCACACCAGATGCTTTGGGTTCCTCGGCATGGAGATTTCAGGAGTGCATAGGCAGGCTTTTGCGGCTAGCTAGCATGCACGCGCGCCATGCTAACTTGAAGCATCATTGCGGAACATGCACAACGAGGTTTATACCCACAGATGGGGAAGACGAACCCAGCAAGCTCGAGAAGGCATCAGCAAAAGAGCTTGAACAACTGCTTGGTGACAAAACCTTGCAATCGGAACCATGTGCCAGGACTGTGATGCGCTACAGGAACAAGCTGATGCCTCTCGGAAGGAGATGAAAAGCCTCAATGACAAGGCTTGGGGATAGATTTTCATCCCACTTCTCGCAAAGGGTGAGAAGTCTCTGCGTGCGCGCAGAGACGGAGTCGAGAAAGGTTCAAGATGTCCCGGTCATGGAAAGTGGGGGCCCTGCAGGTCGAAGAGATTCGCATGCGGCTGAATCTCGTCTGCGGTACATCAAGGTGCCGGTGCTTGAAACTCTTTCGGACGTTTCAGCATGGACGGTTTCTTCATGTTTGGCTACGAGAGGATGGTGCCGCAACTCCTCCCTTCCCAGGCGGACCTCTCAGAGGCCAGAGATTGTCACAGTTACCAGGGCTCCACAGCCTTCCCCAAGTCTCCAGGAAAGTTAACATGAGTCTACTGCTTGCAGATTTGTACCACTTGCAATGAACCAGCCCCCGATGGATGCTCCAAATAGTGCGAGCCCATGTAACTTGCAAGATCCCGAGGCCGGCGTTGCCCTCGTGCATAACCCGATGCCAACATGATTCTTTTTTGACCACAAATCATAAATGCCCTCAGACTAAAGTTGTCTGATTGCTATGGTCAATCTATCAGCCCAAACCAGGCTGTCGTCCCTGACAAAATCGGTCGGGCAGTTTCTCGAGTGGGTCGTTTGAGCCCAGGCCAAGAGGCCCAACATACTCAAGTTCTCCAATGGAGATCACTGTCGCAAGAGGTGTCGTTCCTGCCTAGCTAAACGCGCTGGAAAAGGCGGTTCATCATGCTGCCTGTCCTATTTCTTCCACGAGGCTGACTAGAAGTTTTGGCAATGACTGTTGGATCATTCATCTGGGAATCTCGGTACCTCCGAAAATTGAAATCCTCAACCTGAATATGAAGTAAAGATCTGAATCTTGATGGAGATCTGACTGAATGGCATAAGGTATACAGTATACATGTATAATATATATATATATATTCTTATACAGAAAGCGTCGCCTTGGGTTCATGAAAATCACTATTTTGATATT